CTTTTTTCTCCACAAGTATGCCAACTGGCATGCTTTCAGTTTGTTGGTTTTCCCGTGGAATGTGAATCTGATTGACTGACGCGCTGCAGAAATAATAGCCCAAATCAGCTGCTTCTGTACATTTCCAATGTTAGATTTCAATGTGCTATTCCAGACCAGTAAATGGTAGGTGGACAAAGGATTCCCTTGAAAAATATTCTACTTCGGGATTTAAGATCACCAAATGAAGTACAACTTAATCTCTTAAATATAATGGCCAGTCTTCGTGAACGAAGATTTGGGGAAAGGTCTTTTACCTTTCCAGCCTGCGCAATGGATTTTTTAGGTGAGACACAGCCTGCGCTGAACTGAGCCCACCCTTTAATCCTAAGGTTCATCTGCCAGGGCCAAGCAAGCTTGGACAATGGCAGTGAGGTCCTCAGGACGTAGGTTTGTTTAGAGTGACCTTCTCATAGATGGATGGCCTTACAGGGCTAACGGGCTCCATCTGCCCAGGGGGACTGGGATTCGAACCTGGGTCGCAGCGGTGAGAGTCCCGCATGCTAACCACTAGGCCACCAGGGGTCTTAAAGAACTTGTATTTGCTTTCTGCCTTCTCACTTCACTCAGAAATCATCTTTTCTGTGTTTTCCCCAGTGCTAGCAGCACTTTAGTTTCAACTAAAGATAGGCCTACATCTAAACACAAACATAATTTTCAACTATTTAGGATCTGGATGCAAGATCTGTAGCTCAGACTCATTTTTGCTTTAGATATCAGCTGTCTCAACTGGGCAATTTGAACAAATGTCAAAGAGATTGCTGATTTTCATAATCAATGAATGCTAAACGAGACAGCAGAGGTTAAAAGCATACTAAAACTGAAGCATAGTTTAAAAGCAGGTGCACATCCAGCTGATGAAGAAATCCTCAGATGTGATCATTGCAGTTCAAAAAAATATCCGTATCCGGACAGCTCACTGAAACAACAAAGCATTGTATACGAAAAAGAACACTTGTCAAGTAGCTGCTCTCTGTGTGTGGATGGAATGGGCCCAGTGAGCGGGGATTTCACAGGCACTCAAGGTGACACTGGCTTAGTTCAGAGATAAACACCAGCTACTCCTGCTGCTTACAAAGCAACGAGCGGGTGCCAACAAGCATCCGAAGGAGTCCAGTGGCTCTCAACAGATAACACTCTGCTACTTCTACCCGCAGAGATAACACAGATAAGAGGAAAAGCAGTAGGCAGCAAGGAAAAGGAACAAAATTTTAAATAAAGAAACCTGAGCAGCTGAATTATACCTAAAGGAAATGAGATCACCATTTGCTTCAGATTCCAACCACAAACAACTGACAAGTAATCAAGAGTCATTAAAGTAGAAGAATTTTTATGAATCACATCCAACTTAAAATCAGCTACTCTGGAAATTCCTGGGACTCATACAAACTGTAATTTGAGAGAATAAGATTAAAGAGCAAGCTTTATATTTTTAACTTTACGAATGGTGATAATGTAACATTTGAAATCTTTTTGTTTACATTTCAAAATCTAATGGTTTATTCAGTCATTCCTGTTATTATCTCAAGAGCTAGAAGTAAATTGATTAAAAAATGTAACTTGGCTAACATCAGAGACAGAATACAAAATGTTTTACTGTAAAAGTAACCATGTTTTTCAAGATGAAGATAGAATAATCTAAAACAACTTTATACTGGAAAATTTTCCTCAAACTTGTAACGTATTTTCTGACTGCCTTAAAATCTTTTCTGCGATAATCCAAAATTAACTGTAAACCAACACAGTTTGATTTTGAAGCTGCATTCCAATACACAGAGCAGTTGTAAATATTCTTGAAATTCTATACCCAGTTGGAGCTACTTAAAAAAACCCAAACAACAAGAAGCTATTATCATTATGGACATGACAAGTCATGTCAATCTTTTGGCATGCCTTCTAGATGTTTTCTTAGCTTTTGTGTTGTTAATCACTAACCAAATACTGAATGTGTGGTTTAACCCATCCTTTATGTGAGATGACAGAGGCTTAAGCACACATAACTGCTCATATGTAAATTTAGACTTCTCCATTCTTAATGTACCATAAGCAGAGAGGACTTGCAAACGATTATTCTATTTCATGGTAACCATGTTGGCAAAACAGACATTTTACTAGTCAAAGGACTAATTGTGATGTTACTTATACTTGATACAAACTAGAACATGATACAAACTAGAACAACCACCAGACTTAAGGCAATGTAAAGCCTCAGGCACACCTGAGCTCAGACTCTGCAAGTGCCACGTACAGTGCCCCTGCACCGTGACCCATTACTTTTAGTAGGACCTTGCACAAGAGCCTGCTCACAGAGCCAGGATCTCAGATTTAGGGTAGATTTCCAAGAATGGTTGCAATTTTAAGCATGTGGAAATTCCTAGTAGGCTAATGAATGTCTGTGACTGAGAAAATCAATATGGAATATCAGGGTACCACAGTAAGGGACACTTTTCCTTATAGAACAGTACTTCTGTAGCAGTTCTTGTTACTAATATTTATAGCATTATTTAACTCTCTGTGACTTCTAATCTTTTGGGGTTTACTTATGGACCACCAGAGTCAATGTGTGGTGGATGGTATTTCTCTTTAGTTTTAATATTTTATCATCAGCTGTGAAAATGAACACTGTAACTAATAATATCTCCACCATAGCAACTTCTGCAGAACAATGCAAACCTCACAATCTCTTTCAGTGCACCACCATATGATAAAACCCCTGTATTTCTTTAAGAGGGTCAGTGTCATCATCTAGTTGGAATGGAATGTTTTCTTTTTTAAATTTGCTAGGTCAGGATGGCCGATTAGTCTGAAACATTCAAGTTACTTCAGCTATAAATTAAAAGAATCAGCATGATTTTTTATTGGGAACTGAAAACTGAAACAAAGAATCACAGTAACCCAAGAACTGCCTGACTGTGGATCTGATCCTACTTTCTCTGCAGGGTTGGACCCACTGCATCTGACCTCTGTTTTGGAGAAGTGCTATATGACTGCAGGGGGTTCACAGGCTGGAATCACATGTGCAGCTCATTATAGATGTATACATTTTCTTCACTCTGTGCTATAATCCAGGTGCAGAAAAGAGAAATACATAAAACCCTATTGTTAACAGCCCTGACTACATAATACACTTGAGATTTTGTGAGTAATGTTTTTCATTTAGATGCTGTACTCCTACTGAGCAGGTAAAGTGTCTTCTACAAGGTCACCTGTACCACTTCCTGGACCACCTCTTTTCTTCACAAGTCTTTTCCCTTCCTTCCTGCCTACACCTCTGCCAAATTCTGGTAAGAGACCAAAGTGATGAAACCACAGATACATATAAGGAAAAGGAAATAAACACTGGAAAGCACAAAGTGGCTCTCAAAATACAAAACTTGTTCATGAGTCTGTACCAGAGTTTCCCTCTTGAGACCCATGGCTAGTCATTAATCAGTATCTACTGGGCAAATAAGTTCCACTGAGTCTTGCACTAGGCATTTCATTTTATTCACTGTTCTTCCAAAAACACTTCAATTTTGAGTTATAAAGACCAGATTTTCCTCTGTCTTTTCACAATTCTATTCTGGAGAGATGACATGGCTTGTAACAGGGCCCTTCTAAACCCTTGAGACATGCAGTAGTGAATAAATGCTGACCCTGAAGCTACCAAAAGTCCCTTGGTAGCAGAACCAGTCCTGTTTCATCCCTCCCACTCCTTGGGCCTGAGCATTTCCTACCTGTGCAGGCAGGTCCAGCTTTGAGGTCAGACGTAGGTCATGGCAGAAATGCCAGGCTACAGATTTTCCAAGTCTCTGTCTTAAGATGGGGCACATAATGAGGGTCCAAGGGTTTCTTTCACCTGAAACCTCACTTCAGATCTTGTGCTAGCCATCAGCCAGCTCAGTGAACTCAGGAACTGGAAGTCATCTAATGCATTTCTGTTTCCCTAAGGCACTTAATGCTTGTAGAGACCATGCAGCCTTGTTTGCTGTGAGATTACTTGGAATAACAAAACAAACTCATTTGCAGCCAGCTTGGATATCTCTCTACTAAACCACAGTTTCAGTTCAGTCATTCAACTACAATTCATTCACCTATCCAGGTGCAAATATTCAGACCAAAGGAATTCAATGGCACTGAACTGGCACTGCAAACATGAGAGAATTTCTGATCAGTAACTGTCACCAGTCTGATGGAAACAAAGTGACACCACAGCCCAAGTCACTTCTCCTGGTGGCCTTCTAGATCTATTTAAGTAATACAGTATGTCAGTAAAACTTAAGTACATGATAAATGGTAGAAAAAGGGGGTTTTGAATCTTGCTGTACCTTGTGTCAGAGTGAAAACAGCAAAAGTTTTTGGCTGTTGGTCCTGGGAAACAATATGAACTTTCAGGTTTTAGAGGGAAAATGAGGAACAGGAGACACCTACACAACTTGGTCAAAGGTTCAGTGAGAAGATAACTCCTCACAATTTTACAGCACTTCTCAGGGAACAACAAATGTGAAAGAGGAAAGCTGGTTGCTCTAGAGTTGACTCTTCTTTCAGAAGGAGAGTTTGAGGAAGGCATCAAGGCCTAGCACCTCTTCCTTGGGAGCAAGGAGGAGAAAGGAGAGGTGCTGTCCAGGCCTGGGGAGCCCTCCTCTTCCTGCATCTTGTCCCTTCCCTGCTTTTCCTGCTGAATCAAACCATGACCCATTTCTTCATTTATTATGTGTATTGGTGTACTAAAATTAATTGAGTAAAGGTTACAGATAATTTTTAAAATCTGGATTATTCTTCCCTCTCTGGAATTGATTCCCCGGGATAAGTTTACTTGATAACCACTCTTCTGAAGTGAAGAGAGTGCCATGGGGATTCTACCTTCATATTTTCTGCCCTGTTTCTCAGGGGATTTAATTGCTTGTGATGTTGATATATTAAGCCACCACAGAATGAGACAAGAATTACTCTCCTGAAATTCAGAAAGGTTTATTCCTTACCTATGTTCACTTTTGGACTTCCAGCTTCAACTGTTTCTCTTAATTCAGTTCCTGCCATTTAGTGAAGTGAACTCAGCGTGCTTTCAGCAAACATGAGCTCTGTTCTGATGTGAGCCTGAAGATCTGAACAGAAAGGAATAGAGAATGTAAGCAGACAGTACCCAGATAAAGGCATGGTTATACCCCAGACTTGACACAAATAGAAGGTGGGGAGGGAAGAAGAAAGCTGAGCCATCCTCATACCAGTCATTACATGTCAAACATAGAAGGGTGGTCTCCCTAAGCCCTGAATTGTCCTGTTATGAAAACATTTTTCTTGAGGGAAGTTCAGGTCAACTCCTGCTCTGACCTGACCTCTGAAGAAACTGCACTTCATCAGCTACAAAGCCTATGGAGACCTACCTCACCTTAGTCACCTGAACTACCTGAAGGTAAACTCTATGAATATACCCACAAATATTATGTACTGGTTTGCTGTTATTCACTGCATTGCTATAACATCGCAGTATAATGTGAAAAAAATCACATTTGACTGGGCCAGGAAAGACTATCCCTTCTTAGATAGACATCTGTCAGTTTGTATCTCCATCCTCATCTTATGAAATGAGCATGCTTTGAATACTTCTTGGGAAGACAGAAATTACAATAAAACCGTGACCAGTTTCTCACGAGCAGAAGATTGCTACGGGTGAGAGAGCTGTAAGTAACTTTGGAGAACATTAGTTTAGCACCTGCTGTGAGCCCCGTGTCCTAATAGATTGCAGCTGGCATGACGAAAGCTCCCTGCTCGCCCCATTGTTCTGCGTTTCTGCTGGAAACAGCTCTCTGAAAACACACCCAGCGCTTCAAGCACGCATTCTGGCCCAATACTCCCTCCCAGCGGGCTGTGTTTAACCCACACCTGAAAGAATGTAATCCTCTATTAATTAATAAACCACTTGTGCTTCTCTCATTATGGGTAGCACCATATGAATAAAATACACCACATTTGCTTGTATCTCTAGGCATCCTTATTGACATTCTATGTTTATCACTAATGTATATAGATAAACGTTATCATTCCATGTCATGTCTCCGGGCATGTTTCTCGTCGTGTTTCTCATAGCTCTCACATTTCTCTTTTGGTTTTATAAATGCCTCTAAGGAATTGCTGGCTGCTGCGGGGAAGCCAAGGAGCTCCTTCCAGAAATCTTGCTCTGAACAAAGCTGCCCTCCCTGACCGTACCCCCTTCCCCCGAAACTAAAAAGCAGTATTAAAAATTTCCCCCTTGAGTCACTCCAGCAGCTTTTGTCCGCAGAGAGGTAGGGGCCGCGGCATCGGCTCACTCCCGGGAGATGGGGCGGTGCGGACCCGCCCCAGAGCGGCCGCAGCGGGGGCGGTCCCGGCCCGGCCCTTTATAGCGCCCGCTCCGCTGCGCCCTGACAGCCGCTGCCGCAGCTCCGACAAGGGCACCCATCGGCACCGCCGCTCCCCGGGCTCCGCCGCCGGTAAGTGCCGCGCTCTTAAAACCCGATGGTCATCTAAGGGCAGAAGTGCCGGGTCTAAGTCGAACAGAATGAAGCTGCTCTTTAAATTAAAATTAAAAAAAAAATAAAAATAATCTGATGTGATGCAGTATTGCAGCAGCGGGGAAGGTCAGTTCTATGTGCTGCAGTATGTCAGAATTTTAACGAGGAATCAGCAGTACTGCTATTTGGGATGTGAAGGTTGGACCTGAGAAACTGATTATGGTAACAAATGATAAGTTTCTTGCTGCCAAAAATGCTAAAAATAATTCTCTTAAGTATGTTTAAGGGAAAATATATCTGTTGAAATCACATCTGAATCTGAAAGGCATGCACAGCCAAGTACTTGAGGCATGATTTAGCTTCTTGCATTATGAAACCTGCTTACAAGCAAAGGGTGTGTCTACATTAGCACTTTGATTTTCATGTCTATTTTCCAAATTAATCCAGTGTGCTCTATTCCCCATGTTTTGGTTCACACCACAGAGTGTTTGAACTTTAGCATGCGCCCTAATGAGCTTTAGAGTACTTGCACTCCATTTCTCCCCAGAAAAACCAAACCGGAATGTACAATCAACGTATTAGCAGGCACTCAGTCTGCAGGACCAAATGGAATTAGTCCAATATAGAAACCTCTGAAGCAGGTACAGTGTGGAGCAAGTCTTCAGCACCAGCTTAGTTCCGTACATCCTCTTCTATTGCAGTGCTTGCCAATGTAAATATAACTAAGATTCCCATGGAATCTTTTAAAGTTTCACAGTTTTCTAGAACTGAGGATGCTTTTTAGAAAATCATCCCATGACTTGCATTGCATTCCAAAAAAAGAGAAAAAGATATATTGCTACTTTACTGTACTCCCCATTGTTGTTACAAGGTAATTATTTACAGGTCCCTCTTGGTGTGATTGCTATATGTGCTTGGCTATGAGAGCCAGCTGCATATAAGAAATCAAGACAGAATGTGTTGTAAGCCTCTAATACTGTAAATAAGTGAGGTAACATCACAAGCAGACTTTCAAGAGTTAGCAGTGGTGAGAGGCACTCAGTGAGGTGGCCAGCCTTACGTATCAACAAGATGCAGTGGGTAACTACAGAGGTACTGAAAAAAGGAGCTTTCCCATTCATTCTCTGAAGTTAGATGTTAAGTGCTTTGTTGTAAGGTAGTAATGATCAATTAAATACATACAAACAGCTGGACAGCAGCTAAATAAATCTGCCAACTTCCAACTTTTAGTCCACACTGCAAAAACTGAGTATGGATTTTTCCATTTTCCCTTTCCCTGCTTCATTAATCAGTTGTATTGCTGAGTGTACAAGAAAAAAGCTTCAAACAATAATCTCTAATTTAATATGTGGAAATAATAAGCAGATATTCCACAGCAAGTTAATGCTTAAGTCTTCATCAGCTGTGTTGTGACTTATTATGAAACCAACTGAGGACAACAGAAGCAAGAAAGCTGACACTGCAAGCTATAGCATGACATGAAGTTCCTCTTTTATTTTCAGAATTAAATAATACAGATAGAAGAGGCACGAAGTGAGAAGTTAACAAGATGAAGTTACTCATCTTTCTCATAGTAGCCCTTGTCACGGGACTAGATTCTGTAAGTTTGGAAATAAGTGGTGGGTTGGTTTGCTTCTGGGTTTCACTACATTTTCTGCTTTGGTCACTGTAGCAGGCTTTTGCCTTGAATTCTATTTTACTGCCTTTGCATGTACCTATATACCTGTTGTGCATATATCTCAAAGAAACCTGTTTTGAGTCCTTTGGTTTTTCTCCCAATTCAGTTCCACCTTAAGACATCTGCTAGCATTCAAATAGTGAAGACATTCAATAATCAAGAAATCTAGCTTTTCTATTTTTCTCTTAAAGCAATGTAGATATGGACACTGAGCACCAAGGTCTTGCTGGTCTTTTCTGGAGGTGGATATTGGGCCTTAGCTAAATTTTCCCCTCCCCTATTTGAAAGTGTAAAAATGATGCTAAAAAAAGTAATAATAGATACTAATTTGAGTATTTTTGACTATCAACTTCTATGACAGTTGGTGTCTATCAGCAAAGCCATTCACCAACATTATGGAACTATATTGTTATCATTACGTGTTTTAGCTCAAGCAAGCCCACTTGACCTCTGGAAGAAATACAGTAAAAGCCTAATCTTATTTAATTTAATGGAGAGAGAAATATCCAGACTGCAAAGCAGAGGCAGAGCCTTGGAGGACAGAGCAAGAATCTATTGTTGTATAAATCTACTTTTATTCTATGGCCCAAATGTGAAGCACCAAGGTCACTAAAATGACAGAGGCAGCTGGTGAATGCTGTATCTTTGCTGCAGTGCTTGGTGGAGGGGGAGAAGCTTCCTTCCCTGTTTTGGGGACACTGACCATTAAATGCTGCCTGGGTTCTTACAGCATAAATAATTGCAATGTTTCCCTGATGCAGTGGACCAACTTGGAGGGGCTTTTCTGAGAGTTTGTTTGCATGATGTGGGATTTTTTTTTTTCCTTCCCTGTTCTGCTTTGCTTAAGTACAGTTCCACTTTCATTCATATCCAGATTCCACAGAGCAGGTTCAGCTGGTAACTACATGCAAAAAACCTAAACTGTTGAAGCTATGCAGTAGGGAACAGAGCTTTGGCCCATAAAATGTAATCAAACCATAAAATAAACTGCTTCCTTAAAATCCTTTCTTTCTTTTCCCTTAGGGTTATAGCTGGAAGTACTACAACATGCTATATAAACGCAGATCAGATCACAAGGGTAAGTATCTGCTTGTTCTACTTGAACCTAAAAACTTATCCTGCAATTATATCTTCATACAAGAAGGAGGGCTCTTAATGACACTTAAACACCTAAAACTAGTTTGTAATTACATTTCACCTCATCATTCAAATGTTTTGTCTATAATTAGCGATGTTTTTTACTTACAGAATGCTCTTGTTTGAATGGAGGAACTTGCATTACCTATTACCTCTTCAGTGGAATTAGTCGTTGTGTATGCCCAGAAGGATACACTGGGATTCACTGTGAACTAGGTAGAGTATCTATCTTCCTTAATACCAGCTAAATTCATTGAAAAGGTCTAAAAAGATAGTCAAATAATTAAAATGAAATGCCAGGTGAAAGTATTACCCATAAATGGGGCTGGATAGTCTTTAGCACTTTAGGGTAACAGAATAAGTGAGAAGAAACAACTAAATGTTGGGGCAACATTTAGTCAGGATCTCCTTCTTTTTTTTTGTCTGCCTCTTCAATAAGGTTGCTTACCTCAACCTTCCTTTTTAGTCTGTGAGTCTTCAGAAGCAGAACTGATTGTATTGTGAAATTCACTGAAACTATTAAAGAATTAATACCCATGCTTTAAAATGTGAGATACTTGATGCTCAAATTCATACAGAACAAACGTAATAAAAAAATATATAATCAGTCCAGATTTTTCATAATCTGTTTTTGATTGTATTGCAAGAACTTTTTCCTCATTAAAAGGCTTTATCCATGTCTGTCACAGAACAGTTATAAACAAGAACATACTGCTAATAAAATATTTCTTTTCTCAGACACTAATAGCATATGCTATACTCAAAACGGGGAGGACTACAGAGGGATGGCAACAGA